TTTGAATTTTTCCCTGTGTAGAAAACCTGAGCACGTGCTGAAATACAATCTTATTAAAAATCTACATCTTGAATACCTCTGATACAAAAGTGGCACTTTTATTCAAACTCAGTTTGCTTTAAATGCTGTAACTGAACTGCAGAGGAGTTCTATTAAAAGAGTCTGAACTCTGTCTTAAAACAAAAGGCCCGGTTCCTATTTAAAAACATGAACCAACATACAAATAAAATAAATAAACCAAATAAAATTTAGTGTTCCAGGAACACCTCCACCCCTGCCATTTCTTTTAACCTGGATGTTGCAGCATTTCAGGAGGCTGCAGAAAAACCTGGAACAAAAACCTGTAAATGGAAGAAACAACTGGTCTGTGTTCCTGATCCAAACTCACTGACCACTGCTCTGCCCCTGCTCCCCAGCAACCTGGGGCCACCCTGCAGACTCCAGCCCAGCTCCAGGCAAAAAGGGTTTTCCCTTTAAGGCAAGACAGCAGATTACTCAGAAGAGACAGAGCCCAGTTTTTCTGAAAGACCCCCACATCCTGCAACGTGTTATGAAACACAAATTTAACAGCAAAAGCCTGATGCAAGATTCCTATTTAGAATGCACACAAGTAGAAATATCTCATATTTAAAAGCTTTGACTTGCAAAGATTCTTTTTAAGTGATAATGACGTAACAAAGCAAAAGGGAAGTACCTACAGAGAATCACTGTAAGTAAAACACACACACATAAATTAAATACATACACAGAATTAGTTTGTAATCTGAAAGCTCTAGTACAGGAAACAAGAAAACAACTCAGCTCAAACTCTCCTCAAATCAGATGCCAAAGGAAGTTATGTGATGAGTTAGAGAGCAGATAAATCTGAATTTGACAAATTATACATTAATAGAGATTTGAACAGCTTGCAGCCTCACTGTGAGAGCATGAAAGAATTGTCACGTATTTGTATGAAGTTCAATGCTACATGAGAGTTTGTGACCAGGTATTTACACTTAAAACACACCCCATATTATTGCCTTACTCCTTGAGAGCTCAGAATTAGCCACTTATCAGAAATAACTCAGTTTTACAGACATAAACAGAGAAGAACAAGCATGGTGCATTCTCTCTCTCCACAAACAATCCACTATCAATGCAGAAATACCAACATGAGTCCTCTAATAAATCTGGAACAAGATGCATCAAACTAATGACCACTGGTAAAATAGGCTGCATCACTCTAAGCACTGCAGCATTCCAGACACTTACTGAAAATACACAAGCAGACCTTGGAGGACAGACTGGAGCCCACTTATCCTCACCCCACACACCACAGGCAGCAGCTCCATTCCCAGCTAACTTTCAACTGTGCTGTGTTCCTCAGGGCAGGTGAGGAGTGTCCCCATCCAGCCAGAACCCTGAGCTGCTTCCACATCCCTATGTGGATCACTGTCCCATAAAGGTGGGCAATGGGATCTGAAATCCTGCAGAACAGAGAGCGAAGCTGAGCATAGCCAGGGTGAGTCCTCCTGCCAGGAGGGAGCCCGGACCAGCACCACCTGTTTTGCTGTTTTTAAACAAACACGGAGCTGCTACTCAACTGTGTGTGGAGCCCAGGCACTCCACACACCTCCAGTGCTGGAGCACAGCCCCAAAGAAAACATCCTGGTTGGGGACAGCAGACCCAGCACTGAGCTGCTCAACTCTGCTCAGGCTAAAAAAGCAACCAGGGAAAACCTAGCTGCTACCAAGGCTACTCAGCGGCTACTAAAGTTTGGAATTACCACACTTGTAGGATGAGGGAATTAATTCTACTCACGTTCCTGGGAAGAGGGAGGTGGGGAAGACAGGAGAATGTATACATATATATATAAAACAAAATTCTGAAGGCTTAGTACTTGCCTAGTGTCCTCCTTCCTTCTCCTTCCCACGCAAACACGAGCGCTGCTCGATGGCATCCAGCACCTACAGCGAATCATTTCTCCGTGTCATTAAAAGGACAGAGACATCTGCTCACACACACACATACACCAGACCTACGTCATCGCTTCCAACTCCGCTCAGAGCTGACAGAAACGCGGCTCCCTTTTCCCTTCAGTTCCCCGAGTCACATTCCCGCCGGCAGACAGATCCCGGGATGCTCCCGGCGGGCCAGCGCCCCGCTCGGCTCCAGGTGAAGGCGGGCGGCCGCCGTCCCTCCTCTCTCCGCACGCCCACGCTGCCACCGGGGCGTTCCCGTCCGCTCGGGGCTGCTGTCCTGGAGCTCCAACTTCCACGGAGCTCCCGGGGACAGCTCCCGGCACACGAGAGGCAGGGAGAGAGGCAGGGAGAGAGGGAGCGACTGCCCCCGCCCGCACGGACCCGGCACCTGCCCCCCGTCCTAAACCTCCCAGCCCGAGCCCGTCCTGCCCCCGCTCCTCTCCCATCCCCCTCCTGCCCCTATCCCGGCTCCTGTCCTGTCCCCATCCTGCCCCTATCCTGACCCCTCTTCTACCCCCGTTCTACCCCCGTCATAGCCCTGTCCTGTCCC